ATGGGCTCATTGATCCAGATGCCAGGTAGCCACACTGAGAACTCTGATAAGACCATAGTCAAAATATGAGATATACACACATTCCTCTTAGTATCTAAGCATTTTAAAAAGCTACAAGTGTTTAACTGACCTCGATTCCATGCAAACAGCTGCCAAAACCTCACTGAATTTCTAGTGGAACTTTTCACTTCACCAATGCTAATGCTCCCTTTCCAAAGATATATGGAGGATGTAACATATTTATGATTGTCTTTTAGTTAGCACCATCAACAATCCTTCTTAAGTGTTCTTATAATTCTGTACCTAGAAGACACTGAAATGTGTAATTTATACTTTTCCTTTGGGAAGTTCAAATGACCTTTATATGTGTATTTTATAACCTGGATATATGTTAAATCCTAGATATTATACTAGGAGACTATAAACACAGCATACTGTTAAACTCATAAAGGAGACCAAAAACATCCAGGACAGACATTTTCAGAACATTCAGGCACACACTAAAAAAATAACCACTGCAGCAGATCTCCTAGAAATGACTTTCATATACATTTTACCAGATCAGAAACAGTAAAGCAAACAGAACTGAGCAGTGACCTTTGAGCAGAGATGAACTTTTGTTTGTGCAGAATCTGTTTCAGTTCCTACCATAGCACTGATGGGAACATACTCACATAATGTATGTATATTAATAAACTTTTGCTGAAAAGATTTTGCTAAACCAACAGTCCAAATAGTCTTAGCTGCTACAACTGATAAATAAAATGGTTACTGTAGTTTAAATATGCTAATGAAGTTGAGAATGGTGGAAGATTTGCAATTATTTCTTGGTGAATAACCAAGGAAAAGATATCAAACTAGGGAGAGGATGTGTAACAACAGTGAAGCATGAACACCCAAATGAGGGTCCAGAAAGGCAGTGGCAAAGACACCAAACTGTTTGATCACTTTATAATAGTGAGATAAAAATATACATACAAATATGTGTGACTTTGCAATAGCCTAGGGAATTCTGTTTTGTGGAAGCACTGAGCACAGATAAGTATCACACATAACTCAGCTTGTACTTGGCCAGAAAAAGCCCCTTAGGGCTGGGTCTGCCTGGCAATAAACAGGACCAAACCCTTGGAATGGGACTGAGGCCCCAGACTGTACCCAGCACAAGGGAGCGGCCATTCAGGAATTACAAAACCACTGTGCAGGCAGACATTCTCTCCTCTTCCAACAAAGTTGGCAAAACCAGTCTAAACTCAACCCTGATTTGGTACTTTATTATTTACAACCAATTGTAAAACAATCTGCTACAGCACACACCAATTTAAAAAAAATTAAATCTTCGTACTTCATAGCAGGTAACTTATGAGAAATAGATTGTTCTTCAATGGAACATTATGTTTATTACATGGCCTTCTCCCAGCTTGGATAGTATGTCTTACTAGGGACCAGGATTTTAAAAAAGGGAAATCTAAGAGCTGGTATTTTACAGAACACTTTATGTACACAGGATGAAAGAATTAACCGCAGTGAAGATGAAGAAATTGTATAGATTTCTCTAAAGAACTTTCAGGGTGTCTTTTCCATACAGAATTTAACAGTGCATTAATATATGTTTTGAAAAGGTCAAGATCAGCATTCTAAGATCTAATATTGAAAGTATTACATTATTGAGTCTACTATATACCCATCAAGATGATCTACTATTTTCATTCCTTGTCCATTCAAAAGGAGAGAAACGAATGACTTGTTAATAAGTTTTCAAGACACCACTCCACACTATGCATCTAATTTAACATTCACTGAGATGAGTATGAGTGGAACACATATCTGTAGGATTTGGTGACACTTCTAATTACTGACTGAAAAGACAAGAGTGGTTTAAAATATAATTAAACTATAAATACTGAGTACTAGTTCTGTGCTTTTATATTCCATTAATGTGTTGATTGTCACTGATAGCCTAAGATTGAAAACATTAAAAGAATTCCAGGTTCCTGCCTCGAAATTTCAATGCAACTGAGTCTCACAGGTTTTTCATAAATAACTGAACTTCAAAGAAAAATAATTTTCATTCATTCAATAATTTTCAGTCATTAAATCATTTTAGCAAGAAAAAAAAAAAGCACAGGACATTTTGAGACATTTAATCCACAAAAATGACATTTATCAATAATAAATGTTGGGACAGTATTCTCAGATTGAAAGGTGACACAGAGACTTTAAAGCTTTGTGTTCCTTAGAAGTGATAAAAAAAAATCAATGTGGAAAAAACCCCAGCATGGTACCAGTAGGAAGTAAGCACTACTTCCTGGAAGCATTCCAAAAGTGGAAGATTCCCACTCTGCAAGCAGTGATCATTAAATGCATGTTGCCTGATAAAACACATGAACCCATTAAGATAAAGCAGTAATCACTAAAAATAAGTAAAACTAGCTGCATTTTATCCTAAAATTAAATTTCTCCAATTTATTAAGTTACTTTACAAATTATTTTCTTAGCCAAACAAGATCAAGAACTGTAATTTTAATTTTCAGGGAAAAAAATGGAATTAAAATGACACACTGTACTTCTAATTCTGCTGAAAATAACTGCAAATTCTGTAAAAGAAAATGACAGCTTTTAATGGCTTCTGTAGACTGTCACTTTTGCATGTGATTAAAATGTGGGGTTTTTTCAAAACATGCATACAATATTGAGCATCTTTAGAGAATAATTTAGCATGCCTTATTATAATAGCAAGTTTTACTTTAAAGTGTGGGTTTATATTTATATTTATATCCATAATTACATTACATATCATACAATGCATCTTGAGCTTCAGTTTGCATTTACACACAAAGCTCATTTAAAAAAAATATATATAATCCACCAGTGAAAACGGTGCTACATATTTAAATCTCTTAAGTAGAGAGCATGGACAAGCTAACCCTATCAATCAAACCAGAGGGGATTTTTTTGGGACTAGGGAAGATCCACAATCCATTAGTATTATCAGTAACTAAATATACAAAATGCCACAATTTTCTCTTCAAAGTGCACAGAATACAAAGTTTGAAATGTAAGCCTCAGCTACAGTTTGACACTGGTGAAGAGCATTTTCCTGGGATTTTTCTTGACTGTGCTAAATCCTCCTGTGCTGTCAGTTAACTTTGTCTATGGGTTTGGATAATGCATAAGATTATGCCATTCCTTGCTTTGTTAAATCATGGAGAAAAATAGGAGTAATATTTTGAAAAAAGTCAAAAAACTCAACTGGTTCCTTGATTAAACATTTTTTTTTTATTCAACATTACTTCTGTGTTTAAAATATTTTGCAAAGACCAATCTATACTCAGCTGTAACTGAGACTTATTCTGGACAGAAAGACCTTCTGGCCTTTGCAGAAACAGCAGTTTGCCATATGAACAGTGAGCTAGTAACAACGAACAACAACAAAAAAGGAGGATTGTAACAACTACCTGCAATAATACAATTTGCAGCATTTTTGCATCATTTGTACATGTTCAATAGAGGATGGATGAAGTGTAAGTATTTCTAAAGACAAGCAACAGAAAGGTTGCAAATTTTCAAATAGGCCCCAGTTTTTTAGCTACGGCTCAACTCCAGAACCAAAGGGCAAACAATTTATTACCTTTTGAGGATTTACAGGTGGACTATAATTGAGGAAAAATGGGAATCCAGTTGACAACCACTGGAATTCTTAACAGAACAATGAGCACAGGATACAAGAGGCTTTTTTTGCAACGATCCTTAGACAGAACCCCGCTAGGGTGATGCAGCGCGCTGCATCTGCTCTGGGGACAATCAGCTCCTCTTTACAGTCAATAAAAGGTAAACAGAGCCCAGCCCGCTGCGCCAGCTCTGCCAGGGGCCCGGGCGGCTCTGCAGCGGGATGGATGTGCTGACGGCGGCACGTCCCTCAGCAGGACGCGCTGAGGGCAGAGACGGGCCGCGCATCACCTGTCCGCAACGGGGCGCGCTGCCACTAAGAACCACCTCCCTCGAGGGCAGAACCACCTCCCTGCGCCGCACAAGGCCGAAGGAGGCAGAATTTAGCGTGCAACTACGTTCCTTGCGCCACGGCCACAGATATCGGCCGCCCGCAGCCCCACCAGCCCCGCCCGCCGGGGGAGGCAACGGCGTCCGCGCCCCTACCGCGCATGCTCAGGCCGCCCGCGCCTGCGCCCCGCGGCAGCTCCGTTCATTCTAAGGGCGCACTAATTCTGACAGGACGGGCGGGATGGGGCAAGGGGATCCCCTTCCCTCACAGCGCGACCCGGCCGCGGCATGCGGCGCTCCCCGCCACTGCCGCCTCTCCACAGGCGGCAAGGCGCCAGTCCCCCCTGAGCGCTCCCTCCGAGCAGCGCACACCCACCTGCAGCCAACACCCGCAGCTCACCGACCGGTCTGGCCCACCCTCCGCAGCAGCCGCGCCGGCAGATTGGCTCCTTCCGGCGTCATTCTCCTGCTCCTTGCACTCGGAATGGCTCCGCCTGCCGCCACTCCAAGTGAGAGCCCGCCCATCTGCCCTGGCTGACGACACCGCGGGCGCAGCTCCGCCGCAGGCACCGCCTTTCCCCTGATAGGTCGCTACCTGGCCCATCGCGCTGTCACTCACAGGGCGCCCTAACATTGGGTTAGTTAGTGCTCTTGGGGGCGGGGGCCTCTCGTGCTTCGCGCACGCCGATAGGCTCCCGCCAGGCCCGAGGGGGCGGGTCGTGGCGGGGCGGCCGGCCGGCGCAGGAAGCGGGGCCGGGCCATGGGGAGCGTGCGCTGGGCCTTCCCCTGCGGCTCATGGCGACCCCGGCGCCGCGAGTGGCTGCTGGCCGCGCAGCTGGTGCAGCCCGAGGAGAAGGAGCGCATCGGCCAGTTTGTCTTTGCCCGCGATGCCAAAGCCGCCCTGGTACATGGGGAGCCGGGCCGCGGTTGTTTCTGAGCAGTCAGCGTTGCCCAAATTCCTGATTTGTCATAGGAAAACGTGCCGTGCGAGGGCATTTCAGGGATGTAAAGCTGAAGGATAAGGCTTGTGTAAAAGTATGAAGCTCTGCCGCGCTGGGGAGCCAGGAGGGACGGCAGGCTGCTGTCAGTAGTTACTCTGAAAGACTTCACAACTTCTAAGTCGTGATACCAAGTCAGGAGACAAAATCAGCGTACCCTGAGGGACTCTGCATAGCACATCGGGGTAACGACCACGAGAATAAAGCTGTTTTACAAGATCCAGGGGTTAAATCTCGCCTAATAACAGTAATACACACCTGCTAATTAGTCTGGAAGGAGTTACCACTTTTAGCTATTTAGTATTTTATTTAGTACCTAGGTAGTGAATAGGTGTACTGAAAGGAAGGCTGTTGAGATAATTTTACTGGTCAGGGTGGTGTAAGAAGTATTTCTCCCATAAAGTATCATAAATAAGTTACTAAGGTAGAGAAAGGAACTAACTGCGATTTGTCTGGGCTGGGACTTGTGTCAATAGTCCTAATAGTGACAATGTATTTGATACTCTGATGGACTCTTCTGCTTAAACTTACTAGACACAGCTTTTATGAAAGGGGACATTTAAATTATTTGGCTAAAACACACGGCTTGATATCAACAGTAATAAAGCAACATTTTTTAGGTAGGTGGTTTTCTAGCAACCACGTAGCACAACAGCTCTGTATTAATTATTTCCATTTTATTTCATAGGCTGGTCGCCTGCTGATGCGGAAATTAATTGCAGAGGAGCTGTGCATACCTTGGAATGAAGTACACTTGCAAAAGACACCAAAAGGAAAACCTTTCCTGGCCAGTAACTTAGTCGGTATCAACTCAAATTACAACTTCAATGTCTCTCATCAAGGAGATTATGCAGTCCTTGCAGCTGAGCCTGAGCTTCAAGTTGGCATTGATGTTATGAAGACTGATTTACCAGGTAATTCATTATGGTGACTGAAGCAGATTCTGCAGTATTTGAGTACTGAACATTGTCACATTTCCCAAAGAACCAATCTGTGTCCTAGAAATTGAGTGTAATTAGCAGAGAGTGTATGACTGTACTGTATATTTGGGATTTCTAGCTGTTAAATGCACTCCTCGTTGTTTATTTTGAGGCGCATTGTAGGACAGATACGGATAAATCTCTCATTTAGAGAAGCAGAACTCTGGGAAAATAAAATCATGAATTCTTCTATCATATGGGGACTACCAGCATCTGCAGATACTTTAATTATGGATTTGCTGTGTGTGAGGCAGGAGAAGGAACATCTTTCCAAACAGGGACAATGGGATCCATCCCCATGAGAACTTCATAGACTGTGTTACTCACTTGTCCCATATGTATGGACATTTTATGTGTCAGCCAACTGGCAACACAGATTTGCTGTGAATGTGCAGTAATCCTCAGTGAGAAGGGATCATGAGGAGGGAACATGTGAGGTGCTCTTGGGAAAAGACTAGACTTTATCGGCCTGTTTATTTGTGACATGACTGTATAGGTTAGTGAACTTCAGGATCAAAATTAGGATTGTAGCAAAGTGTATTTTTAAATGCACTTTTATGGAGATGATTTATTTTGCAAATGTTCATCAGTGCATAGTCATGGGTTAAAGGAGAAACCTACTGGGATTTATGATGCACTGGAATTCTGCTTTTTTTAGAATCTTCCTTAAACATTTAACCAGATATGACAGTAGTAATTGTGTTCTTAGAGAATCTTTCTTTGCAGTTTCTGGAGTTGCCCAGCATTATATGCTGCAAAATACGTTGTTTTGTAAGGGAGAGATTCAGGTAAACCCTGACTGGATAACTTTCTGTCTGATCACTTTATACCTTTTTAATGACAGCTACAAGTGTACAGTTTTGGATTGTCACATTTAGCTAGGATGCACAGAAGCTTTGCTGCAACCTGAAGTTCTTTGCTGCGACTCACACCTGCCATACACCCTCACTCTGAGCACAGTGGTCAGCATGTGAGGCCACCTGACAGCCTTTGGAGAGTCCTTCACCAGAGCTGTTGTGTGTTTTGTGGCAGGAATTGTGTCCAGTGGGTAAGGCTGCTTTGGTACAGGGACGCACCAGACAGGACTGCAGTAACACAGGGCCCAAATAACAAGATTAAAGTTGAAGCTGGTGCTTTTATCACAGCTCTCTCAGGCAAAGCAAGCAAGGTGATGTCCTAGCTGTGTCTCCTCACAGCATCTTGCACACCCTTGCACAGCGTGTTCACTGGGGGAGCAGAGTTACAGAGAAGGCCTTCATGCTGTGCAAACACTGCTAATTCCGATGTGGTATCAACACTGGGTTAAGCATAGACCTGAAACACAGCACTCCACAGGCTGTCATGGAAAAGGTAACACCTGGACCCAGTACCCTTGGAAACACTCTGGTTGGGCTGCCACTGGTCTTCCCACAGGACTCACTAATTTTAATTCCTCATTCCAAAAAGTTTCTAGTTTCAGTGGGTAAAGAGTGAAAATCAAAACATTTAAGCAGTTGTATTTGAAGCTCTTCTTGGGAATTGCAAAATTCAAATTTAAACAGAAAAATTGAAAAATTTATATGTGGGAGTAGGGATATGTTACATCCTGTACTGGTAGTTTATGCAAGTGTAAATGTAGTTGGCATTTTAAAGGCATGTTGACAATGTCCAGCTGACAAGTTTTATGAAGTTTGTTAAACTTTATTTCTGACTAAGTAATACTTTGAAATCTGAAAAAGACAGGCTTTAGTGTTTTTGGGAGATGCTGGTGAACAGTGAAAAATTACTCATATGTCTTCCTTTTTGTAATTATAATTTGTATTTTTGAAAAAGAAATAAGATACTAATGGAAATGTAATAATTATATGTGGGAAAGAGAGTCAGTAAATAAGTAATATTAAAGATAGAACTTCATATTACAGAGACTATAACTTAAAGCTGGCCATCTTTTCACCTGAAATTTTTCTGAGGAAGATTTTTCTCTTAGTAGAACCACCTGCAACTCTTTTTTGTTGCTGGGCTATGAATAGGTAACACTGACTTTACCAGTATTATTTTTTCTGATAGTTCCACTGAGTGGTGCTCTTGTTCTGCATTTGCTAAGTACATTATATTTCTGAAGGTGGATCCACTATAAATCTCTTTCCTTGGAACAGCTACAAGGACAAAGCATTCCCTATGAACAAAGTACATTTCAGTAGGTTTGTTTGGTTTTTTTCAAATGCTTGTTTGAATACAAAGTTTTTCATCTTGTGATGTTATCCAACATCATCTTGATTGAGGTGTCTAGTATTGTAGCTCTTATATTCCTTTATTGTTCAAACAGTGAGCGCACAAAATCTGTAGTGCAGATATACAAGAGTATCATGCAGCTGAAAGTTTTCAGCAGTCTGCTGTTTGTGTGCTACTGTGTAACAAAGAGCCCTGGTGCCTGTAAACATTTTATGTCAATTCTTAATCCATCCTATGTATTTTTGTTTTACTTATTATTCGTAAGAATCTGCCTCTTTCCATATTACTTGTGCTTCCTTATTGAAATTTGAGAAGTGAAACTACTACTGGACATAGCCTTCTTCAAAGGTGAAGGCTTTTTGAATAGCTTCTAACACTAGAAGCTATTCTTACCACTGCAAAAAGCAGCAGTTCTACAAAAGTTCCGCAAGTGTGCAACAGCTGATCACTTTTCCTCTATTCAGATATTGAAGTAAATACTGTAGTGATGGTAGAAAAGGAAAATATCCTCTTCAGGTATTGTGTGTTGTTGCCTTTTGATTATCTGGCAGGTTATTTTAGATTTAAATAATTCTTTCAGTTTAATTGCTTTTGAAGAATTACTGAGATCAATGATTATTTTCTTCTCTTTAGATCAGTTTAAGGTGAACTCTTGAGTCATTTGGAAAAATGCACACTGTCCTGTAAATTTGTTTGTAGGAGTGTCTGTGGACATTATTTAGCCAGGTAATGCATATGAGTTTATTTTAAGCCTTTCAAAAAATAAATGAGAAGAATTCTCACAGTACTGTTAACTCCTGTGGAAAAAATTGAGCTTGTGTTTGATTTTTTTAGTTTATGGAAAAGAAATTCTGCAACAAGTGTCAACTTGGTTTGAGTGGTGTATGGGATGTTGGTTGACCAGTCACTTAAGCTCTGTAAAGTAGAACGTTTTCAGAAACTTAGGAAATAATTATAGATTAATAAATATTGCCTTGAGCATTTGGAAAAAGTAGATCTTAGGCTCAAGAGCTTTCCTGCTGTGCAGTTGAATTTCTTTTCACTAATGCAATTTTTTAGCTTAGATGGATTTGCAAAGATAAATAAATTAACAGTTCATTCCATATCTTTGAAAATCAGCCTGCAATCTTCCTTACATATCCCACTATATTTACTTTGAACCAGATGTCTCCAATCTCAGTTTTATTTCAGAATTAAATATTTGACATGCTACTGCATGAATTAGCTTTTCTCATTAATATTTTGATTTTATGCTAGGCTTGCTTGTTAAAAGACACAAAGGGTAAATTTTCTGCATATGAGTTTCAGAGAAAAATTAATTTGATCTAAAAATACTCAAATAAATGCTTTTTTAAGAAAGTAGGCTATTATGTGCAAACACCTAATTATTTGAAAGTGGTTTTCTCTGAGGCAAGGAAATATAAAAAAAGAACTTGACTCATTTTTCTCTTTTCATTCTCATTATTACATTATTGAGGTGAGGTAATGCGAGAGATGATAGAGCTCTTCAAACCAGAGACAGGTCAAATGTGTATATAAGTCCCACATGAGGAAGCTAAATACCGTATTTCAGTCTAGCTCATGGAGGAAAGCTCTCTCTCCAGACAGGTTTAAACTTTGTGCTGTTAATTTTGGTGTATTCCTAAGCCTAACTGAGTTAGGCTCACCTACACCATAGTTCAGATATTTGGCATGTCTTTTAGCGAGCAGCCATGTTCAATTTTTTGAATCGCAATCCTTATTTAATTGCTTCATTTCAGTTTTTCAATAAGAATTTCCTTACCTAGAAATAAATTCCAAATCAGATTGTTCTTTAGAGTGCTTTTGTTTTTAAGGTGATTTACCTTTACCTTAAACAAAGTTTTAACTGTCCCTGGTTTTATTGTTGTATTTCAATAAATCTTGTGGCAGTAGTCAGTATCTAATCTTTCACTGCTGGAGATAATCACCAAATTGTTAGATAATGTTACAGCTTTAGGTGTGTAAGTGCACTGCTTGGAATGAAGAAATTAACAAAGGGTTTGATTTAAATATTACAGATCAAAGGAGTAATAATTTATAAATATTATATATGATGTAAGCACAATTTTTAGATGTGAAGGATGTTAAAACAGCTGACATCCTTGTTGAGCTAAAGAATCACAGTGATGTTATGCACTTACACTGAGTAAACAGGGAAGCATTTCTTTGTTCTTGTTCTGTTTGCAACTGGGAAGAAACAGCCATCTTAAACATGTTCTTAAAGAATGTACAATATATAGCGATTTCATTATTGTGCTTTATTCACAGTTTTAACCAGGAATTACACAAGTCTGTAATTGATAAAGCACCAATGCTTGATAAACTGTGAAAGTTGGTATTATGGTTAAATCTTCTCTTTAAAGGAAAATTTCTTTATTTTCCAAAGAAACACTCTTAATCCTTTATGACTATTTATTTAATAGAAAAATGTGAAACCATTTGGATTAAAATATAAACTGGTGGCAAAATGCAGAACTATAAAATTAGACTGTGAAGAATATATGTTTAAAATGAGGGATACACTAGCAGTTAGGAAAAGAAAAATCCTAAACTAGGGGCTTTTATTAAAAATAAGAGTTGGAATAAAGAGTAACTATAAAAATGCTTGTCAGATTGTTTTGGTGTTGTGGGGTTTTTTTTTTCATTCTGAACATTGAATTTACAGTAATCACAATTTATTACTAAACTGGTGTTTTGGGAAA